AAATTCCAAAGTGAGAGTTGCGTGACTACACAGGTAACTTTTCACACAAAACACCCCCCAAAATGTGAGTAGGCACCCTATACCCAACCAGTGTTTCTTCCAGACTTTATTCTCGGGGGGGGGGGGGGCCACTTGACATTTTCGGGGGGGGGGGGGGGCGGTAGACTTTCTTCGGGGGGGGGGGGGGGGGCGGACACTGTTAAAAGTAAATATTTTCTATATAAATTTCATTTCGTTCGGGGGGGGGGGGGGGGGGGGCGGTAATATTTTTTCGGGGGGGCTTAGCCCCCCCCCCCCCCCCCGAAGAGATGCCTGGAAGAAACTCTGTACCCAACCCCCTTCTATAATCAACGAATATTTCCAAGAATTTTTCAATTGTTGTTTTGAACGTAATTAAAAACAAAAAGTTGATTTTCCTTGTATTCGTTATTTTCTTTTTCGCCACGAGTGTATATGTTCTAGTGTAGATATGATAATCATGCAATGCTTGAAGAAAGCAACTACTATCATTCTCACTATTGGGTTTCTTTCATGCTAACACATTTACTGTCATTTTACATATTCAAAACATGCATTTGCACATTTACCGAAATAGTGATTTAAAGCTAAGGGGTCATCCATAAATGACGTCACGCTATTTTTTTGACGATTTTTACCTTCCCCCCTCCCCTCCGTCACATGTCGTCACAAAAAGCCAGACCCGCCCCCCCCCCCCCCCCCCTAAAATGACGTCATACCTCAACTTACAACCCCCCTCAAAATTGCAGTTGAATTTTTTTAAAACATCGATATTTTTCCAAAATCTTGTCTAAACTATTATAATTTATTAAAACCGTTATCTAAAATAACGTCTAAAATTTGGTTTATAACATTGCTTTTTTATAATGCAAAAATTTGACGTCGCAACAGCTGAACCCCCCCCCCCCCCCCTCCCCCTCATCACACATCGTCACAAAATTACGGACCCCCCCCCCCCTACCCCCTACGAGTGTGACGTCATTTATGGATGACCCCCAAGCGCAATATTAAATGCAAGCATTATTGTACGCACTAATCCAAGCGTAAGTGTAACGCATCCAGATAAAATAAAAAGTTAATTCGACGGTAGGTTAAAAACATTTTCTTTCATTACAGATAAGACAGCCGTTATGGTATAGACCTACGTACCCCACCGCTAATTAGCAAAATACCAGCACGTTTCCCGTAATAATATAATTATTTGTTTTTCGATGGTTTTTTTTTGCGTTTATAAATATTAAAGATTTTTGGCTCAGTAATCCAACTTTTCTTGCGAGAAAATGCAACTGATATACTAAAACTATTCTGATTATTATATAAATTAACATTACCAGTATAATGTATTAAAAATAAATAATGATTATACAGAAAAACTATTTTTTTAAAAAAGGTTTATTCAGTAAATATGTATCATGTGTTTATTTACTAAAATATAAAAAAGGAATGGTGGGTGGCTTACAAAATTTCTGTCAGTCTACATGACAGTGGTTGTATGTATCAAGACCAGAGTCGGGTGAGTTAGTCAACACAAATACGTACAAATATAGAGTGGCCTTACCTTTTCTTTATTCAGATGGAAGGATAAAGATAGAAACTTAACCACTGCGGGAAAATGATTTCCTGCGCTGCGCTCTATATAAATAACCTCCCCAATAACTACATATATATATATATATATATATATATATATATATATATATATATATATATATATATATATATATGGAGAATAACAAAAAATAATGAAGATGATAAATAAAGTAAATAATTGATCAGTAGGTTAAAAAGAAGCTAAAGATTTTGGCTACAAGGTTGTGTTTTGGGGTTTGTGTCTGGACTATCGAAATAGTTCTCTGGCTGGATTGTGGGGCACAGACGCTGGACATCTTTGATCCATTTCAGGATAAATACCGTCTTCTCAAAGGTGGTCACGCTGCGTTTCTGGAGCTCTTCGGCGCTAGAAAAACAGTACATACATACATATGTAAGTATATATATATATATATATATATATATATATATATATATATATATATATATATATATATATATATTTATTTATTTATTTATTTATATATATATATATATATATATATATATATATATATATATATATATATATATATATATATATATATATATATATATATATAACAAGACGACATAACCTGTGAATAAAACACACTAGACCTGGAAGGAAGATGTTGAACAAGAGCAAGATGATTCCTGAAAACATACTTTAAGCAGTGGCGTAGCGAGGTCGGGTGTCACCCGGTGCGGCACTTAATGGTATCACCCCCCAGAGGCGTAGCGACCCTTTCTCGGGGACAAACTTTCAAATTTTCGATTTGCACCCCCCCCCCCTCAAGTTTTTCTCTCTATATTTTGATATTTTTTTGCCTTGGTGTCACTCCCGTAAATGATGTCACCCGGTTCGGTCCGCACCCCCCGCCGTCCCCCCCCCCCCCCCTCGCTACGCCTCTGACTTTAAGATAGCCTTATTTCTTTATATGTGCATAGACTACCCCAGCTAAAGGCGCTAACTAAATTTAATCCCGATATAACCTGCAGTGAACCAAAAATAAAACACAAAAAGAAACCGTCGAAGGTGTTACTAGGTTTGTGTCATGTCCTACTTATGATCAATGGAGAAAGGGTCGGCGAGGTCGAGTCGGTAAAGCTCAAGGTTGCTAATCCGAAAAGTCTCGAGTTCGAACCCTCGGGCAGATGAGGCTCGTTAGCTGGGGACAGCCACTCTTCTAGGAGAGTCAACTCCAAAATTAAACGACTGCTGCCTTGTAGTTTGTTCTTGGTTGGACAAAGGCTATGGAAGCAAATCCAAAAAGAAAAGCAGGCTGAAATCGGAGTAAATGGCCCCAATGGCGCATAACCAGTTGACACGTAACGCTTAATTGTGTTGGAGGCGTGGTCGAGTCGGCAAAAAGCTCAAGGTTGAAAAATCTAACAAAGTCTCGAGTTCACTGGCAGATAAATCTCGACCCCCTTCAACACTAATAATTAAGAACGAAGAAGAAGAAGAAGAACCAATGGAGAAGATTTTATGTAGCAAGTCTTTATATATCTGAAGTCTAAGTACGTTTTTTTCCCCTAGCTTTTTTTTAAATTCGTGTATAGGTTTATTAGCAGACTGGACTTACCTCAGGGTTTTGAAGCCTGGCTCTACATCTCTGACCTTCGTCTGCGTGTCTTCCCCCTGCGTCGTCGTGACCCGTGGGGTGGTTGACGGTCCCTCGCACGGTGGCTTCACCTCAGCGTCCTTGACCTGCATCGAGATCAGCTGGTCACGATCCATGACCGTCTCAGACGACGATGACGTCACTACGACTCCCTGCTCGACCGGTTTCTCTTGGCAATTTTTTTGTCTGTTCTCGAATCTACGGCGAGCGTCTGCTAAGGACTGTCCCACCTGCTTGGAACTTCTCTGTTTGAGCTTTGGAACCTTCTCCTTTTCGCACCGTCCGTTGATAATTTGATGAAAAGAAACATCGCCGTTTTTGTTGTTTTTCATCAACTTCGGTAAGGCGGAATCCGGCGAAGAAATTGGTTTCATTTTAGTTTCGGGAATCTCCGTTTCCAATTTAGTATCCCCGGAGCCGTTATGCCTAGGCGTGGCGTGCAAACACCGGTACCTTTTAAACGATTCCGATTCCTCCCCCAAACCGGAAACACGCAGTTTGTTTTGTTGAATCGACTTGGACACGTTCGATACCGGAACTGGAGTCGAACTAACGATACCGGGGCTCTGAAGACGGAAGTTATTTTTATCCTTCAACGTCACGTCCGGGTCACAAATTTCCCGCCCGTTTTCCATCAACTGCATGACTTGAGATGACTGCAGCGAGGCCGATATGCTTGACTTCACGCTGTCGTGTAGACTGCTTGAAGGACACAAGGAACCGCTTCTGGATTTGAGAATTCCACGAATGGAATAACCGGATGAGTTTCCTTTCGGCCGGGACGTCCACGCGCAGATCTTGTTTTGCTTGACGAAATACCGGATGCCGACCACATCCGGGATGGGACCGTTGCTGAGGTATCCCTTCTGATCCAATGTCAGCTCCTGGTTGAAGGTGTTGGGGAGTTGTCTAGCCGACACCCCCCTCACTTCGATGAAGTTGGTCGTGTTGTTCTGAAGCGGGCTCTCGTGACGTTTGGCGTCGTAGCGCGTCTTCTGTGTGTCCGACGTCTTCGTGTGTCCCAAAACTCGGGCTAAAGTAAAAAAAAAAAAAAAAAACACATCTATTTATTTAGTTTAGACCTCACTCTCATTGTCTCGACTCTAAAGAAATCTCATGATGCCCATACCATTAGATATGTACCAAAAGACTTTTGTAATCCTCCCTAGTTCTGAGGGATGGCGTTGCCTACAGGTAGAGCGCTAGACTGTTAACTCGAAAGTCTCGAGTTCGAATCCGGGTTCGAAGTAGATCGTCCCTGAGTCCACCCAGCTATAATGGGTACCTAACTCAAGTTAAGGAAAGTAAAGGTGGCTGGGCATAGTGCAGACAACACTATCCCTTCATATACCGAGTCAAAGAAACAGGTGAATCTGCAAACTCTACTTCACCTGCCCAATGGACAATCAGGTTCAAAAGGGAACTTTTACTTCTACCTAGTTCTGAGAAAAATTAAACATACTAACATAATGAATTAATGCTTTCAAATAAATCTACAGCTTGTGTTGTTATAGTTGTTAAGGACATAACTATTCATCCAGATAGATATCAAAGTTCAACATAATACTAGAAATTGGACCTCTGCTGTATAAACCTTAGCAGACGCCGTTGATCTAAATTTTTACTTTTAGTAATTTTTGTTACACACCAAAACACTGTTCTAATGCAATTGATCATCTTGAAACTGGTGAATGTTGGTGCTTTTTCTTATTTTGTATTGTAGCGGACTCCCCGCAACACAGTAGTATACGTCTCAATGTTTTAATGCACCATTTCTCCTATTGACTCCCATAGAGTCATCTCTCTTAGATGGGTTGATGTTCCCAGTTAACGAGCTTTATCTGCCCGGAAGTCCGAACTCGGGACTTATGGAGTTCGAAGTCATACGCTCTCTCCCCCAACCACTCCCTCCCTCTAACGGAGACGAAACGACACACATACACTTTAAACATATACGTAACAATATTCCACACAGCACGCACATACTTAAACAAATAAACCCATCTACGCACAATAGACGCACACGTTTATCGTTACACTTACAGTTTCGGTAATTCTTATAGCCGAAAACGCAGTCGTGTTTGGGCAGGGGGGTGACGTTATCCATGGTGGACGTACGGGAGTGAAGGACGGCCGACTTGGATAGACCCGGCATCAGCTCTACTCTTATGTGGCCGTGGAATGACATTCCTGTTGGGGACATTGTTAATGTCACATTGTATAAAATGTCATTGGGCATGGGATGACATTCCTGTGGTAGACATTGTTAATGTCGTTTGAATAAAATGTCATTGGGCATGGGATGACATTCCTGTGGGGGACATTGCTAATGTCACATTGAATGAAATGTCATGTGGCATGGGATGACATTCCTGTAGTGGACATTGTTAATGTCACATTGAATAAAATGATGACATGTCATTTGGCATGGGATGACATTTATGTTGGGGGACATTGTTAATGTCACATTGAATAAAATGATGACATGTCATTCGGCATGGGATGACATTTATGTTGGGGGACATTGATAATGTCACATTGAATAAAATGATGACAACTCATCTGACATGGAATGACATTCCTGTTGGGGGCATTGTTAATGTCAAATTTAATAAAATAAGGAACATTCATTTGACATGGAATGGCATTCCTAGATGTGACATTGTTAATGTCAAATTGAATAAAATGATAACATGTCATTTGACATGGGATCCCATTCTTATGCTATAAATACATTGTTTATATCTATTGAATAAAATGATGACAATTCATCTGACATGGAATGACATTCCTGTACGGAGCATTGCTAATATCAAATTGAATATAATGATGACATGTAATTTGGCATTTGATGACATTCCTATGCTAGAGATACATTGTTAATGTCAAATGAATAACATGATGATATGTCATCTGGCATGAAATGACATTTCTGTAGTGGAAATATATTGCAAAAGTCAACTGAATGACATGATGACATTTGATCTGGCCGCGGATGACATTCATTTAGAGGTAACGCATCGTTTAGTTTTGTTCAATAACATGAATAACATATCTTTATTTGAAACACATAAAGTTTAAATTAATTGAACTTGCTACTACTATTACATGCCATACAGTAGAAGTACCTAACATATGTACATCCGTTTTACCCCATTCGGACATGGTAAATTACGTACTCATCATTTACCACATTAAAAAAAAATTTAAGGGATTTGTTGCTGACTAGACTGTGGTGTGTTGAGACAAAGATTTAATGAAACATTCTAGAAGTTCGTAGACCAAGGCACTGATTCTCCATGTAAATATATATTTACATTCTTTATCCGTAGCAAGAATACCCGTACTTAATTTGAGAATACCCTAAGGTTTGGGTGTAAGGAATACCAGATGAAAAGATAAAGTCAAAAATATAAATATATAGAGAGAAATGTAGACAGAGCAACGGAGAAAGAGAAAAAAAGAGAGAGAAAATGAAGACAGGGATATGAAGACAATCAAATTTATACGGAGAAATGAAGGCAAGGGATGTAGACTGAGGGATGTAGACAGAAGAACGTAGACACAGGGATGTAGACAGAGGAATGTAGACATTGGAGTGTAGACAGAAATGTAGACAGGACTGTAGACTGAGGAATGTAGACAGAGGAATAGAGACAGAGCAATGTGGACAGAGGAATATAGACAGAGGAATGTAGACAGAGGAATGTAGACAGAGGAATATAGACAGAGGAATGTAGACAGAGGAATGTAGACAGAGGAATGTAGACAGAGGAATGTAGACAGAGGAAAGTAGACAGAGGAATGTAGACAGAGGAATGTAGACAGAGGAATGTAGACAGAGGAATGTAGACAGAGGAATGTAGACAGAGGAATGTAGACAGAGGAATGTAGACAGAGGAATGTAGACAGAGGAATGTAGACAGAGGAATATAGACAGAGGAATGTAGACAGAGGAATGTAGACAGAGGAATGTAGACAGAGGAATGTAGACAGTGGAATGTAGACAGAGGGATGTAGATAGAGGAATATAGACAGAGAAATATAGACAGAAAATAAAGACAAACAGTGAAGACAATTGAAGAAAGGGAAATTAATCAAAGCGAAATGAAGAGAGTGCAATAAAGAAATAGAAGTACAATCCGAGAAATGAAAACAGCAATCATGGCAGAGAAATCAAGACTTAAGTGAAAAGATCAAATTACACTCTAACCAAGTCGCAGCTATACATATCTTTATTCATGACGTCACGACCGCAGGTGTAAGAACATGCCAGGCTATTGTAACCGATAAAAGAGAAAAGACCCTTCAAGGCACCGTACACGGTTCATTAAGTTCATTCAGGCACCAAGCTTGTACTAGCAAGACCAGACTTCAAACGGATCAACGAATGTAAAGAGCGATCTGACCCGGGGGTTGTATTACATACATACATTCAAATATAAATATTGATCTGTTTTCTTTTTTTATATAAATCCTATTAAAATCAACGATTCCCAAATTGTTCAAATATTCAACTAAAATTCCGAAATTAAAATATAGAATTTTGTTTTTATAAAATAAATTTGATCATGAAAACAACAGCATGATTTAGCTATTACATATTAAACCTGGATAATCTAAGTAATATTTATGTAGCTACGAATGCCTGTAGAAGAACCACGCAGTATTTAAATGAAAAATAGGCATTTTTTTGGGTTGGAATTCTAACACTAACACACACAGTAGGTATACACGACCCGTGCGAATACCTACAACATAAGCTGAAATAATTGCGATTATTAACTCGTCATTTCTGGATGGATGTGTGTCCCCAGCTTTAAGTCGTATCTCCTCCTCAACGAAGCAATATCGAGGACTAGTTCCAAAAGCAAATATGTTAAGCAAGTTCCAAGGATGATTGTGGGCCAAAAAAATTCCCGGAATTTCTTCCTGGATTTCCCGGAAAAGCCAAAAAAAACTCGAACAAATGCAGTTTTTGGTCCATATCTCGACAACCAGACAACTTAGCGACTTGAAACATTTACCAATCGATTTCTGCAATAATTTAGAACAATACTGCCGAAGAAAGTTTTCAAAAATATCCTTTCGTTCGGTCACAAAAAATTAATTAAGAACATTTAAACTGAGCATCGTGTAGGCCTAGGATGATATTAAAACTGAGTATCGTGTAGGCCTACTCGTTAAAATAAAACTATTTCCGTTGATATAGGTTAATATAGTTGTCTTTTGTTTTAGCGCAAAAAAATATCCTTTCGTTCGGTCACAAAAAAATAAAAATTGTTATGGATAACATAAGGAAATTGCGCTTAAATTGTCACTAGACTTTTTATTAACTTGTTTTTTCTACATGTGGCACTTGAAATTTTCGGGGGCGCTGGGGGGGGGGCGGACACTGGTAAAAGTATGTATTTTCTATATAAATTCTATTTCGTTCGGGGGGAATGGGGGAGGGGGGAGGAAGTAGACGTTTTTCGAGGGACTCCGGCCCCACCCCTCTCAATGACATGCCTGGGAGAAACTCTGCTAAAAACTAGCCTAGTCTAACAGTGTCTATTATCAATTCTATTTTTACTCTACTTCATACAAATTCGGGTAAAATCATAGCTACGTGCTTGATACTTTCGCCTGAACTGGGGGTAAACAGCTGACTAGCCTAGACGTTAAAGATTGTTTAGTCTTTCTTGCGCTCACCATTAGTATCAGTGTTAAAATCCAAAGTAAGTATCCATTAGTATTAATTTTAACACCTAGATCTAGAGCAGATCTTAAAAAACTAGATCTAGATCTATGTTAAATCAACTAATGAAAACAACTGTTTATATTATATTGATATGATCAAATATACAAACCCACTATACTTCAGAGTGTGTGACACAAAACGAATGTCATCACTCCTTAGCCTAGAGGTGTCAGCACTTATCACTGCGGTGCCTTACAAGTGTGCTACCAGAGGCCTAAAACCATCACAATCTTCCATCATTGACTAGAGAGAGTCTAGACATTCACACTGGATCCCATCAACACCTATGTCTGTCGTCGTGTTCATTAGAGTTCCGCGGCACAAAATGGTGTTGCGCACCGAATTGTTTTGGCGTGGTTTAATGTATCGGAACAATGCTGTCTTTTGGTGTGATTTAATGTATCAGGGTTATGTTGTCTTTTCGTGTGATTTAATGTATCAGGGTTATGTTGTCTTTTCATGTGATTTAATGTATCAGGACAATGTTGTCTTTTGGTGTGATTTAATGTATCAGGTCAATGCTGTCTTTTGGTGTGATTTAATGTATCAAGGTGGGGTCGGCGTGGTAGAGTCGGTAAAGCTCATGGTTGCTAAACCGAAAAGTCTCGAGTTCGAACCCTCGGGCAGATGAGGCTCGTTAGCTGGGGACAGCCACTCTTCTAGGAGAGACAACTCCAAAATTAAACAACTGCTGCCTTGTAGTTTGTTCTTGGTTGGACAAAGGCTATGGAAGCAAATCCAAAAAGAAAAGCAGGCTGAAATCGGAGTCAATGGCCTCAATGGCGCATAACCAGTTGACACGTAACGCTTAATTGTGTTGGAGGCGTGGTCGAGTCGGCAAAAAGCTCGTGGTTGTTAAATTTGAACAAAGTCTCGAGTTCAAACTGGCAGATAATTCTCGATCCCCTTCAACACTGATAATTAAGAACGAAGAAGAAGAAGAAGAATGTATCAAGGCAATGTTGAGTCTTTTGTCGTTTTACCTTTATCTCCTATTTTAGTCACATTATTTATTCTTTATTTGTATGGCTATTAGGTGTGGATTTTTTTCTACAGCAATTCTGTTGAACTATCTTATACGGTCATTCTATTTGGCTTATACTAGTTCGTGCGGCCATTTGATGTGACTATTTGCTATGGCCATTCTACTATGTACATAATCCTATAGAGCAGCCATTCTATTAGGCTGTCTTATGCGTCCATTCTGTTGGGCTTTTTGCTACGTCCATTCTATTGGGCTATTTGCTACGTCCATTCTATTGGGCTATTTGCTACGTCCATTCTGTTGGACTATTTGCTACGTCCATTCTGTTGGACTATTTGCTACGTCCATTCTGTTGGACTATTTGCTACGTCCATTCTGTTGGACTATTTGCTACGTCCATTCTGTTGGCTACGGCCATTTTGTTATGTAAATAAATCCATAAAGCAGCCATTCTGTAGTTCTATATAAACGGTCATTCAACTGTCTGATTGTCAAAACGAAAAGGTCAAAGTTGATTTTTTTAAAGGTCCACTGTTTTCATTTTTACAAAATAACCACGCTAAATATAAATTGCTTGAACTTATGAAAAAACGGTCCATTTGATCAATTCTCTTGAGTGCTCAAACACATCATACGTTAAAAAAACATGTTCGCTCTAAACCAGGGTTGTTCATTCATACGACCTTCGATCGAATCCCGTGCGGGTAGAGAATCACATTACGGTCTGGTGAGTGAGTCCATTCATCTCCAGGGTCTGATGTTTGCCCCAATATGATGAGGGAGTTAAAAAGTAATTCATCATAAAGGTGGCCCTTAATGAGACAAGACTAATTTGGATTTAATGAGATTGAAGTGAGGAGAATCTAAGTCAGGTGGAAATCGATTTTTTTAATGATTAGAAAGTGTTTTAAAGATTGATACTTTTAGACGAACTGTTGAGTAGGCATATATTTTATTTTAAAATCAATAAAACAATAATTTGATTAAAAAATATACTAACGATCGTGTAAGGTACAGTTTTTAGATCAAAGTGCCAAATGTTTAGTAATCTCTAGACACTTGGATTCTACACAGTTTAAAATTTGAAGAAGACGTTTATTTGAGAGTAAAGATCTCAACATAGCGGCTGTTCAAACTTTATTATTATACGAGTCAATGGTCTTTCTTAATTCTCATGCCTCCATTGTTGTTATTCTGTTTTAAAACTATCGAATTTCTCTTCGGTTTACTCCAGGTATCACGATTTTTTTCTCCACTGTTGATATGTTCTAGGTCGTATTGTCGCCATACTTTTGATTCCGTACCTATTGCGCAGAGGCGTAGCGAGGGGAGGGGGGAGGTACATATGTCCCCGGGCGCCGACCCTAGGGAGCGTAAAAATGGGTTGGAAAAAAATAATTTAAATCTCATTTTAGCTGCAGTTTTGCTATATAAATATTAAAAAAATATAGTGGTGGGGGGTAGGCGCCAAATTGAAAGTTTGTCCCCGGGCGCCGTGAAGGGTCGCTACGCCTCTGCAATTGCGTGTTTCCAATGTCTATTTTCTAATTACCACAGTAGCTCCTTCCCTACCCAAATACGTTTGCCTCCTATTTCTGTTTAAGACCCCTCGATTTTTTACGTCACTGTCGCTGTACCAACCCAGCCCCCCCCCCCCCCCCCCCCCGGTACAGTTATAAACACCTCCCGTTAGGTATAAAAAAGAAAACCGTGTCAGGTAACCTCCATGAGTCTTGTTCCACGATTATCGAACGGACGATAACGGCACCGTGCACAATAACCCCCAACACGAGACACTGAACTCATTAATCCCCTGCCACTCTCCGGCCCCGCTCCCCATTAAGCCGGTCCGGCACTTAACACTCAATATTGCCTGGAGCTCTGGCACTCTGGGAGGTTTATCAATACACGATAAATACCTGGGACACCTCTCGCTTTCGGCTCGGTGAATACGTAGGCGCGGGACTGGAAAAGACAAGCAATATTAACTGCAGTGGTTTTTTTTTTTATATTTGTAGATCGAATCGCACTTTGGGTTGGTGTTTTTTTTTAATAGCTAAGGAGTTTTGGGGGGGATATTGAATTATTGCGATAGGCGATTGATCTTCGGCATTGGATAGATGTGGCAGGTTGGTTATGTGAAATGGAAATGTGTTGGAGTTTTTAGAGATTAATATGTAGGTATTTACAATCATGGTTTACATTTATTCTTAGATTTAAAAAAATAACAGAAAATTTGCTTGATTGTTAATTGATACGTTTTATTATTACCATCATGACAAGTTATTTAAGAGCCAGATAATTTAAAAAAAAAATAAGGGCTACGTTTATACTTAGTTTTAAAGTTTTAGTGTTAAAATTTTAGTAAAATTATTGGTTAAATATTGTTTGGAGCTTTGCCAATGTAACGTATTACATGTGTCGTTTTTTTCTGTTCTATACTTAACTGAAAGTATATTCGTCGTTTATAAAATAAAATATTTCTTTTACTTGATTTCGTCGTCTAGGTTTGGAAGGACTTTGTGATCAAAGTAGATCGGTTTTCTAATGTTCGATAAACTGTGATATAATAATATGCTTGATTCTATTCTTTCTCTGAGAAATTTCGTTAATTTTGTTACTTTGTTGTCCAGAATGTCTTCTTGGATTTTATGGAAACCATTGCCTGCAAGGTATCAAATCTGTTCCGTGGAGGGAGAGGGAAGAGGGATATCTTCACAGTCGGGTGAGGGTAAGGTTAGCACATCACATGCTGGTGGTGGTAAGGTGAACACATCACAAACGGCATGTAGTAAGGTCAGCACATCACATCATGTTGGTGGTAAAGTGAACACTTCACATAATGTTTGTGGTAAGGTCAGCAATTCACATTCTGGTAGTGGTAAGACAAACTCAACACACGGTGGCCTGAAGAAAACCCCAGAACACTCACCACCACCCACAACGCCAACGCACCTCCACCACAGACGCCAACATCCGGAAAACAGTCATTGGACCAACAACGCCCACGTGACGCACGTCCCGGGGTTCCCCACGAGAAGTTCCCAGTACGTGAACACTTTTAAACAGCAGCAGCGGATCAGCTTCGCCAGGCAGTGGTTCCAGGACAGCACAGAGCATCTGGGTAGATCCTCTGATCAACCCTCACTTCTCCATCATCTGGGTAGATCCCCTGGTCGACTTCCACGGCTTCACCACAGTGCCAAGGCTCCTGAAGAGATCCCCCAGCATCACGAGCTAACGAGGAGGCTACACAGCGCGGCGGAATCTAGACCGTATCACAACTTTTCAAACGCGACAAAAAATAGTGCGAATTTTTCACGTTTGTCAAAGTCTGAAAGTAAAATCAGTTGTCGTGTTGACAGTTCTTGCGGTAATATAAATAACTACCACAAATGTTTGTTTTGTGAATATAACAATGGGTGTATAAATAAAAGTAAAGAGAAGACATTTTTGTTCAAAAATGGGGGTATTAATTCTGGAAATAAAGCAAGCGGTTTACTCCAAAATTGGGGAGGTACTCCTACACATTTATCTAGCGGTGATTATACAAATTCTTCACGCACAAGGGTAGACAATTCATCTTACACATCGAGCTACTCAAGCAACCCATCCTGTCATCCAACGCAATTAACTTCACCATCCAACCAACCAGCGAATACAGAAGCGATCACAACTCTGGCTCAAGAACGTCTGGAATACATCAGAAAAACAGAGCAACTTTTGGAATACTATCGCGACGAGGACGCCAGACAATCAGGACTTTATCTAAAACATTATCAATTTTCTAAATCCCCACGACAAAACACGCCGGTTGCAAGTGGCTCTCATGATCTTTATCGTCCGTGTTTTCGGGCATCACCAATACAACGTCATTTGGAAGAGAGAGATTGCCCTAAAGCGTTAGATCTACGTCTGTATGAAAGTCCAGAGTACAAGTTAAAAGAAGAGTGTTGTGACTGGAGTGCTTTTGTTCATGTGAATTTAAAATCAACACAACGCGAGCGTTTCATCGATGGTACTAAATTATCCAGACGGCCTTGTTCGGAGAAAATGCATAAACGAATATCTAAATCTATGGACAAGGTAGATACTTTCAAACCAGCTGTAGATAAACCAGTCAGGCGTAAATCAGGTGTGAATATATCAGCAGTCTGTTCGCCAACAATGAATGCTCAGCCCGTGAGTATATCATCAGCGAACATGACAGCTATACACTCATCAGTTGGTCAAGAATCTACAGAACACAGGTCGGCTCAGCCTATGAGTATATCATTAGCGAACATATCAGCTATACACACATCAGTT